TGGGCCGTTGGCTGCGCGTGCGGCGACGGGGGCGGGGGGGGAGGAGAGAAGGCGGGGCAAAGGGAGACGCGTGATTTTTTTTTTTAATTTAATCTTAATTTGCTGGTGAAATCACAAGTGGCAGCGACCTTAACGCGGAAAATGTAAATTATTGACAGCAATACACAATCGGAAAAGTTAGTGTGCAGTAAGGAGGCAGGAGCGCCTCGTTGTTTAGCCAGAGGCTACACGAACGGCACAAGGCAGGGGCTTGGAGACAGCAGACTGCGCCCGAGGGGATGGATGGGCTTGCGTTAGTTCCGAGGCCAGGATGGAAAACCTCTGGAGGGCCTGCCTTAGCGCGTGGTGATAAATTAGACCCTAATCGTGTAAGCAAGCACGTGTTTACTCCATGGGGATGGCTCACCTAATTGAACTAGCTATGCTAATGTCCTACCAATATCACGCTAAAGCTGCTTTTTGGGGGATAATGGTTTCATGGATCCCTTTAGAGAAGACCTGGCACTGTAATGGTGGATAGGCCCTCAATTATCCAATGCATTCAGTGTTTTTGGAATTAGTAAATTCTTAGTGCAAGTAAATTATATTTTGTCACAGGTTTCTTTTGGCAGAACTCCCAACAAATATGACAACTAACCTGTCTTGATTCTGGTTTTGGAACCTTTTCTGTTCTTAATGGCATGTTGGAATTGATGAGTTTGTGGAACCATGTAAGTGCTGTTGATGGTTTTGGTAATCAGGTGTTCCAGGTACCAAACAAAACTGAGACCAATATGGAGACTTGTAGAAAAGAAACCTTAATGGGAGGAGTTAAGAGAGTTTCAGAAAATGAAACAAAAGAACAGCTATGCATTAAAGAGAAATTGCTGCATTCAAGAAAAGCGGCTGAATCCAGTGTGTTTTCCCATTTTTACTATTTCTAAGAATGCACATTAACAACACTGTTTGGGGATACTTCACGATCTTCTGTCTTGCTGTCTTCCCTCTATATAATCTGATGATGTTAATTCATTTCTCAGTTTCAGATATATATCTGAATATATATATATATAAATACCCAAACAAGATAATTAGATTGGTATAAAATGTTTGTATAATCTAAGGTGTTTATGCAGTTAATATATTGAATAGTACTAAGTGCAACTGAAAATCTGCTATAAGAAAGATTATAGAAAAGATTACTCGTGAATAGCAGAGAAAATGAGCAGCATCAAAGTAAGTACCTAGTAATGCATATTAGGAATTTTATTCATAACCGCAACAAACTGCAACAAACTTTGTGATGCTGCTCTGTAATAGTACAGTGGGTTTGTGCCATGTATGTGCTTGTATATATGTAGCCATACATACATACTTACATATATACACTTCATTTTGTCCATAAAACAGTAATATGGCTGTAAACTTACAGGAAATGTCAAAATGGCTTATCTATGAAATGCTGAGAAAAATCCCATATAAATGCTAAGTGCATCGTTACTAACCTTAAAAGCATTATATGACTTTTGAATCTAAGTGTTATGTAATCACTAGCAAAAGCAGAAATCAAAACATGAACTGATAATTGTGTTTACTAACACAATTTGCAAAACAGGAAAATATTGAAAACTATTTGAGAACTCTACCCTTAATTTATAGTATGATGAATAACAGTTGTAGAGTTGTAGAGCTGTAAAATGAATTGATGTAAGCAATTTCACCTTATATTAGAAATCCTTATGTTGGGCATATTTCAAGATAAGTCTATGCAAAGATTTAGCTATATTCCTAAGTCATAAGAAGCATCAGATATAGATAATGAGTCAAACTAGTACGTCTTCCATCCACATGACAAAACTTTGTAAACCTTTTCAGGCTTGAGATGTGCGTGGGGATTTCTGCCAGCGCTGCAGCTACATCATGTTAAGTTACGTCACATTCAGCAGAGTTTGGAAACGGCTGCTTTGAGCGTGTTCAAAAACACTTACTGCGTGTTGTACAGCCAAAGCCTTCCCGGCTGCTACTTGCTACAGGGAGTGTTCAGAGCTACAGACACCACCTGGGAACCCCGGGCAGATGAAGCGGCTCTTGGAAGTGACAGCATTAGAAACCTCTGCTTTTTCCCATCAACACTGGACGTGCAGACAGGTTTTCACCTCAGCTCCACGTGCCTCTCTGTTCAGGAACAGTTACTAGAGCGGTTGTTGCTGAGCAGCTGCTACACGAGAGAGCTCGACCGGTGGTGAATGATCACTCAGTTGCAGAACTGAGTCACCAGGAGCGGCTGGCTGCTCGTGAACAGCGTGTGGATGTGCCAGCTAACTAGGTAAATGTTGTGTAACCCGTACTTCAGAAAAAGGAACACTGTTCATCCACGCTTTAAGGCTTGAGGCTGTGCATTTCTTTTCTGCCAGGTCTGTAGGTTTTGTTAAAGGTTTGCAGGTACAAACAGCACCACTGGAAGCAATTCCAGGGGTACTGCTGCTCTGCGAGGAGACGCTTCTGCGCTTACAGCTCATCACTGTGTTAGAAAGTGAAACGGGCGGGTTCCGCGCCGCTGGCCTGGCAGGAGGGCACCGCAGGCAGCTAAGCTGAAACAAACACGGAAAGTCGTAGCAGCTGCCTGATAACTTAGTAACACAACTTTGCAGACGCGGCGCGATGCGAATTGACATTTTCCAGCAGACAGGAGGCTTTTCTTCCCAGAGCGAGATATTCCCGCCCCCCCCCAACCAACTTTCTCCACCCCCGCAGCCATCCCGTGGCTGCGGGAGCCCTCGCTCCGCCGCGCTCCTGCCCTCGAACATGAATTTGCCATTTGTGAAAAGGAAGGAAGGAGCGAGCGAGCGTGGACGGGGGCTTCGCCGCAGCTTCGCCGACCGCCTCTGTCACCCCTTGGTCCCCTGCGAGGAAGTCGCCACCAGGATTCACCCCCCGTGGACAAAGGTAGGAGCCGAGAGGCAGGCGACAAGCTGCCCTCTGCATCGGGAGCTTCCCTGGGTATTCGTGGCTTCCCTGGGTGTTGGGAGCTTCCCTGGGACCTGGGAGCTGCGGGCGAGTCCTTCCAGGCTTTGCAGGTGAGGCGCTGGCGAGGACGGGCTCGCTGCTTGCTCTGTTTCCTCCAGAAGTGCAGCGTTGTGGCAGTTTTATGCTGAGCGGGCTTTCCATTTCACGAGCTTTTAAGAATAAGCAATATTTCAA